GGAGCCGCGCTTCTAATTCACTAAGCCTTGCCTCCAACGCAGCAAATAAGCTACACTTATTACAATTACCACTGTCGCTAAAGGAGGCAGAGGCATAACTGAACATTTGGCACACCGAGCAAGAAAGAGCAGAGGGAGAAGCCATCGCTAACTGTAAAGCTAATGTAGCTACCAAGGCTAGTAACTTGCAAACAACAGCTAATAGATTAGCAAGAAAGTCGTAGAAAGGAGGAGAGCTATAAGTGCTTAAGCAGAACCAGTGTGGGTTAATACTTGAAGTAGACGTTAAAGCAACTGAAGTGAGAAAGCAGAAAGCAGGCTAGTAGAATTCACCAGAGCAGTACAGAGACACTGTCACAGAAACACCGGAAATGACACAACTCGCCTAGCGCAATACGTCAGCACATACCAGCACCAGATAGATCAGTGAATGGGACAAGCAGTGATAAGTGATAAGTCACACGATATATACAATCACTCCAACTAACATAACCAGCACCATAATGCTGCTGAACAAAAGTACTCATTTCAAATGTCTTGCCTGTTTCTTTTGCTGTATCCTCAGGAATCGCTGCGATCTCAACTGTGCAGATCTAAATCGTCAGTGGTGTAAACCTGACCCAGTCCTCAGTCCAACCATCTACCACACCAAGGGTTTCCTCTACTACCTCAACAGTATAGGACGGACTCCACTGGTGAGATACACATGCTTTTCTGTAGTATAGACTTGTTAGCTTGATGTTACTTGTCTTCAGGTGGTGTGATCCTTGTTCCTTGTTTTGCTTTGAAAATCCACTGCCCCATTTTTTGAAAAAACACTGCCCCATTTGAGATTTTAGCCCCCTTTCCACCGAGCAGTATGGTACGGTACAGTTCAGTTAGGTATGCTTTTTTTCCGTTTCCACTGCAAAAAGTTGTGGATGGTACCAATGGAACTGTTCCGTACCATTACCATTTTTGGTACCCCTTCTCTTGGGGTTGGTACTAAAAGGTGGAGCTGTGAACACTGCAGTCCGTTGATTGGTCAGTAGCGGACGGTCACCCTGCTCAGGGCTGCGTTGTGGCTGGTTATGGGGCAGAAGCCACTGTTCATATTGTGGAGAGTTTAATAAGCAGACTGTGACTAAAAATAAAGGGATTTTTTGCTGCCTCTCACAGCAGCTGTCGTGTGAGCAAAAAAATAACTGAATTCACTGGGCCGACTGCCAGGATTTTTAAGGTGGAACCTGGAATGTTACTCAATGCACGAGCTGACGACTTGACTCACAGTGACACACTTTAAATATTCCACATGACAACTCTGACCATTACTTAAGTTTTTATATGACATACACTTTCAGTAATAAGTGGATCTTCAAGCTTTTATATTTATTAATTTTGGCCAGGTTATGTGAACTGCATATATTCTAATCCTTACTCAGAGAAAAAAAAGGGTCATGTAGCGTTGAGCTACAGCAACACTAAGCCCCCGAGCTTCCCTGAGAAGGACTAAATGAACAAACCCTGCAGTGAGTGCTGGATGGAGTAGTGAGTGACAACAACCCCACCCACATTTAAGGGTATTGTTTGCAGTGGAAATGCTAAGGTCTGGGTACCATGTCTGAGGGGTACTTTTGGTTCCAAAGGTACCATATCGAAAGTGTTTGGTGGAAACGGGGCTTTTGATAGACCTGCGCCGAGGTTGGTTTTACACATCCCTGCCATGTACAACTAGAAATGAGTTTTGTTAAGACAAAGCACCTCTAGTGTACTATTGTTTACTGTTGGGACTTGACCTTGTAACGAGGTAAGCTTAGTTGGAGGGACCTGTGGAGTAGGGACGAGAATTGTGTTAGATTCCTGGTAGGGGCTACATATGATATGTTACCAACACCCCAGAACCTAAAACGGGGTACGTGGGTAAATGGGGACCTATCATACCCATTGTGTTCAATGTTGAAATGTTTAGCTGCAGGCATCGAAGGGAAACGAAGACAGGTGAATTCAGAAGGTGTTAAGGATAGGAGTTTAGTAATTCAGTTTGTCCGTGAGGCGGAGAAATACAGAAGGGATAAGTTAGTAAGGAGGCAAGGGTGTAGCTGCCTAGAAGGTGCTTGTGATTGGGAAATGCAAGTAGATTTAGGGGGAAAGCTTGTTGTTCCCCAGGAAATAGTTTGTGCCAAGCAGAGGCCTGACATAGTGTTGTGGTCAGTGAGTCAACAGATAGTTTATTTCATTGAGCTGACAGTTCCTTGGGAAGACTCAGTGGAAGAAGCCTATGAAAGAAAAAAAGCTTAGATATGCAGACTAAGGAGCAGAAGCTGAGCAGCGAGGATGGAAAACTAGGATTTGTCCAGTGGAAGTGGGGTGAGATCAGCTGTCTCACTCCTGGGGGAACTCGGAGTGCGGGGACAGAGTTTGAGGAAGACAGTGAAGGAAATGTCAGATGAAGCAGCTAGAGCTAGCCAGTGGATCTATGAGAGAAGAAATAATGTCAGTTGGGGGCCAGCAGGGGGAACTACTAAGAAGGTTACATAAGTCCTTGAGATCAGGTGGAGAGATCCACCAATCAGTCCTGTTAGGAGAAAATCCAGGAAGAGGAAGGTGTGGGAGCGGTCTATTTGAATCCCTTTTGTTTGAGACCATGCTGCAAGGTGAGTGTGTTTGCTGATCCTGTGGGGTTATTTATCTCCATTAACTTTAGCTTATATTGGAGTTATGCTATGAAGCATGTGAAATAGAGTATGGTAAATGTGCTAGGAAAGGTAGTATCAGCACTGTCGCTACCTGGAGCTCACATGTACGGAGCCTGGGTTTGTTGAAGGTGGCAGTGCTGTTTGGGCTGGGAAAACCATGTGTAAGTAAGGTAAAGAAGGTTGTTGGGTTGGTGCAGGGAGCAGTGAGACCTGGCATTAGGGGAGTGTCTCTGGGATGCCAGAGATCACTGTCTGTCCTCCTGGAGGTGTCGTGGGACCAACTAGACAAAACACTGGTGAAAGGAGGTTCCCACCCGATGACCCCAAAGACATGTTAGTTATCACTGCTCACTGGTCTGTATAGTTAAGCCTTGCCATAATAGCTTATCATAAGGCTTAGGATGTTATTCACTGAGTGCTGATCCTTTCTTTAGAGCACAAACTTCTTGTGTTTATTTGAATTGAACAGGCCTGCAATTAGAAAATCAGAATGGCTATTGGAAATAATTAATAATTATAATTCATTCGCTCCTCACGTAGTTCACCACTGTACTGATAGTGACACAAATGCTTTTCGCAAGTACGTTGCATTTCTTGCAGTTAGGCAAACTTGAGTTTTCAGCTGCAGCAGCAAACTTATGCATTCTAAACTTTTAAAGCCATCAATTTAGAAAGCCTAAATACTAATTGGACACTTGGATTTATTTTTGTAGTACTTTGTCAGTAAGAACACTAGCTAAGGACACCCCCTTCTGAACTTCATTGTAGGTGCCACTCTTTCTTCACCCCACTTAACAGACTTACATAACTAACATTCCTGTTCTCATTAACACCTGCTGAGAAACACAGGTTAGTTATCTGGTACCATGTCAATTTATCTGGATTTTGTTTTGTAACCTGAAGATTTGGTTTTGTACTTGATGACTATTCTTTATAAGCCAAGAAATATAGTGCCAACAAATGCCCAGCTGGTACAGCTTGAACAAACTGACAAATGAATTCACTGTACCACAGATTATTTGTCATTAGTTAAGATCTAATCTGGCTTTTCCTTTGGGTCTTACCATCTGAAATGGTGACTAAGACTGCATGTTCTTTGTTCATGAAACAAAGGACAGCCATTTGGCACTCGTCTCTACAGGATGTCTCATTGTCACACCTAAGGGAGAGAGCAGTCCACTCCTGAGGCCCTGATGGGCTCTCTTGCCCCTGAACCATTAAAGGGGACTCCCTTGCTCTTCTCCTGAACCTCCATAGAGGTAGGATGTAGGCAGGAGGACCTGCTACGCCCTTCCCCTTTTGTCTCAATTCTGCATGCTAACAGCAGGAGCTGCAGCCTTGCTTTCAATGTGGCCTGCTTACAGAAGACACACAACCTGAAGACCAGAGAAGTTAGTGTGCCAACACAAGGTTTGCAACTAACTGTCTGGCACCAAGGAGATCCAAGTCGAGTTAGCACCAGACTTCTAACTCTGCAAGGACACTGAGCAACCAGTCTTCTTGGATCTGCACCTTTGGAACAAGGACACAGCAAGGACCGCGTCTGAAATACCAGTTCTTTCCAGCCTTCAACTGCAGCATGCAACAGTATCTCTTCTCCCCTCCATCCATTCAAGGATTGGTAATGTAACAACTGGGCATAGCATTATTTTTATTATCAGCTTTGTCGATTGTGATTTAATGCTGTTTATTGAGCTATTGTGATGGTTTGCAGTTAGGTTTTTGGTTAGTTGGCTTCACCAAAGCTAAGTGATGTTAGTTTGCTAATGCTTTACACAGAAAGGGTCTTCTATGCAACTAAACATCTTCTGTAGCCCAAACCCTTTTGCAACAAATATCGCATATGTTCACTCACAAATTGAGTTTCAACATAGCAACACCCAAAGATGACTCAAAGTTTCCACTTCATCTCCTTTGTCTTCGTCCTGACTGACCATACTGTCAGGCAAAAACTCTCCTGATCTGAAGCCATGTTTGATTCAGCCATCTTGTAGTTCTCTGTTGTCAGCCATTTTATTTGTAGGCCATACAGCCTTTGTTTCTCTCTCTCTCTCTTAAGGTGCGGACACACGAAACCGACATTAAAAAACTAGCGGCGACGAAAGCCAACTGTTCCATTGTCTACATTGCCTCACGTCGCCCTGTGTCAGTTGCATTTGAACACACCACACGGACTACATCCGACGGCCAAGTGGCACATACGTTCTGCGCCTGCGTGAGAGAGAGTGGAATGACAGAGTGGTACATCCTGACAGCCGAGGGGTTTCCTATCTGTGCAGCCGAGCACCGCAGCACCTCCACGGACTATTACATCCAGATGGTCCCGGTGTTTCCTCCGCAGGCTCCACTTCACTCAGCTGCCCAATAAACCCACTGCTTCTTCCCACTTTAACCTGAATAACAAACCAGGGCTCGGTGCTCTGGTTGGACCCAAACGGAGAGCCGGGGCTAGCTCAGAGACTACCGGAGGCTAACTGGCTGTGCTTCCCTCCGGTCATGCTGCGGCTAATGCTCTGCTAGCCGCTCCCAGCCAGCTCCGGCTCCCCATTTGGATTCTAACGGAGAGCCGGGGCTAGCTGGGAAGCTAGCGGAGGCTAACTGGCTGTGCTTCCCTCTGGTCATGCTGTGGCTAACGCTCCCCTAGCCGCTCCCAGCTTGCTTCGGTTTGTTATTCAGGTTAAGTGGGAAGAAGCAGCGGGTCTGTGGGCAGCTGAGTGAAGTGGAGCCTGAGGAGGAAGCACCGGTTAGCCCCGATTTCACTACAGGCAGATTCACTCGCTACAGGGGTGAGGAAATAAAACCTGAACAGCCAATCAGAGTTATCTCTCTCACCGACAAGCTCCGCTGCCGATTCAACATGCTCAATCAGCCGAAAAGCCGCCAACGCCGAAGTGCCGATGGTGCGGGACACACTGCAAAAACAAGGCCAACAGACGCTCACCGATGGCCCGACTTTGGTCGACGGCCGACTGTCGGTTTGGTGTGTCAGGGCCTTTACACACACACACACACACACACAC